CTTTTCAACTTTTTAAATAGTTTAATATTTAATATTTTTAATTATGATAAGTGTAAATAGACATTAACAAAAAAACATTAACAAAAAACAATAGAAACAGTTATTATTGTAATATCAAAAATGTCTAACATACTACAACTATTTTTAGGGATGATTTGGACACAGCTTAGTATTATCATACCTGATTGATCATATGGTCAAACAGAGAACCCATTACACAATTTATGGGTCTTAATTTATTTTTTTATTTGATTTTCAAGTTGAATTATCAAATTGCCAATTAAGGGGATTTTGACCAATACGAATGGTTTTGTTCTCGAAAAAGGAAACATGCACCTCAGTAAAAATAATATGGTTTTGTTTATAATGGCAATTTTTTTTCTTAAAAGGCAAACTCATATATATTGGCAAACGCCCCCTTAAATTGGTGAATTGTGGCCTAGTGAACTCTCTACTTTATTATGGGTTTGACATCACTAGGGCACAATGGCACATCTCCATTAGATAATTAAGGCACATATTCAATCCAAAGACAAAACAATGCCCTATTTATAATGATAATACTTAATACTAATTTAATCCTTTTCTTTCAAAACTAAAAATTTGATTTTCTAACAAACAATTATGGGCATTGCCATTTATTCCTTTTTAAATATATTTTCTTCTATCTTGACAACATTTCCGAAGTTATTTATTGTGATAATTATCTTATAACAAAATCATTAATGGGTACAGTGCTTTTTCTAACATCCCAATCACCAATCCATGAGAGAGAGAGAGAGAGTAATAATTCACACACCCAAAAAATGTAATAATTCAAATTGAAATTATATCTTTAGCAATTGATTCAATGAAGATAGTGCCATTACAATATCTCCTTTTCGAAACATTTGGGTTCTAATGCTTGTAATAAATAACCTAATCTTTTATTGACATATTGGCATGAAGCCCTCCTTTGTGATTTTAATTGTTTTAAAGGAAAATCATGTATTGGGGCCATTGTAGTTGTTGAAGATGTTAAGGTATTATCAAGGGAGCTCAGATTCGCTCCCCACTGGGCGCATCCCACACATGCCCTCATAGCACATCTCAGTGCCCATTCCGAACATTTTCCCTACTTAGTAAAAAAGGAAGAATTAAAAGAATAAAAAAAAATCTTTGAAAAAAAGACAAAAATTTATTTTGTTATTATTTTCTCTCTCTCTATATATACATAAACCTGCAAGAGAGTATATTAAATAAACCACATGGGAAGTGAACAATATTTTGTACCCCTCCATTCTTCCCCTCCCCCAACCCACAAGGCCAGAAGGTAAAAATATATATATATAATGAAAAGAGCACTTAGGAAAGAGAGTCTCAGGATAGGGCTACATGACTCATAAATGGGCTTTGGGCCCCTCAATATTTACTATGTATTCCATTCTAAGATTTGGAATTCACCCAGTGATGGGTCCACTGAAGGACATTGCCCACAGCATTTAGGACAATTTCAAGTAAAATATGGGGCTAAAAGTACCAAGGGGGTAGCTAGCCCTAAACCATGGCCACAAATTCTCCTGACAAGGATAAAAGGAACTTTCTCTTATAAAGATTGATTTGAATTGATAAGATGGTCTGGATTCTCCTCACACTTCGCTACTTCACTCCCTTTTGAAAGTAACATGTGCACATTCTCTGGAATTTAAACTTCACTAGGACAGCTTTTGCTTTTCTAAGCAACCCAAATAGATCTCATTTCAAATAAATGGTTTCACACTTGGATCCTGCACTCAACTTGTTTTTGGCTGACATAGTTTGATGGCATCCTGATCCTCTAACAAAGAGATACATGGACACAATGGACCCAAATTCAATGTTTTACTGTCATAAATTCTTTAGGCTTAGTTTGAAAGGAATATAAATACAAATATATACAAAATAATACAAAGTACAAGGTTTAACTATGCACTCTATATATTTGTATATCTACTCCTTCCAAACTGAACCTTAGTTAAATAGTGTAATCAGAGCTTTCAACAATTGATACTCTTTTTTTTTTGAGTTTGATAAGTTTATAACTATATATTTCGGTATGGGTAATTAATGTTTAAGGTATTAAAAGACCCTAACTCTCAGTATTTAGGGGGCGTTCTTTTTTCGGATTTTAAGAGGGGGGAAACGTTGGTCGATGGGATTTTGGTTTCCATTGACCAAGAATCCCATGTTCTTTTTTCAAATTTATGTGGGGACTAGGAAAAGTTTATTTTTCTGGTTATCACTTACCCAGGTAAGTGGTACCCATCTCCTAGGTGGGTAAATAACTTTTCCACCTAGGAGGAAAGTTGTCAACACTTGAATGGGACAAAAATGCCCTTTTTAATAATGGATTTTTATGACTAAAATGGTCATTGCCTTATTTACATGAGAAATAAAAGAACATGGGTAAATGTACTTGCCCGAGTAAGTGTTTCCCAGGAAAAACTAACCCAAATAACTGAATTTACCCGGATAAATAACTTACCAAAAAGCAAACGAGGCTTTAGTGTTTGAGTGACCCTGATTATATATAGAACTTAAGATATTCAAATATTTAGTTTACCCATCACAAAAGTCAGATCCAAAAACAAAGAAAATATTACCTTGTTTCAGTAATTGGAACCTCTCTCTCTTTATCTCTCTCTGACAATACAATTCACTTCTCTATTCATGTACATTCTCACTGCTAATATTACTTTATCAAAGTCATATCCAACCATATATTCAACATATAACCCCCAATAAAGGAGTTGGTTGAAATAAAGTCAATGATTGGTGATATAGAAAATGAAGTGTAACCTACCAAAAAAAACATAGTATGTCTTGTCAAGCCTAACAGATCTTAGACTAAGTTCCAAACCCCAAGTTAGAAAGATTGGTTTTCAAGCTGCATCCTGTATCTTTCTTCCTTAGTCTCATTCTTGGTAGGGCAAGTCACATCCTTCAACCCACCACAAATCTCATCCTAGCAATGCCACATCAAATCTAAATCTACTTCTTGGCCTTAATATCAAGGAAAAAAAAGATGTACAATGCATAATAGCTTGAGAATCATCCAAACCAGAGTACTATGAAAAGCCTCATTTATAGGGTTGCCCCACATATGAGGATTTTGAGAATGATCCCATCTGATTGGATATTTTCATCCTTGTCACATAGCTAATGGAACCCTAGGGTGATTAGACAACTCTTTAAAGTTCATACCAAGACAAATTGGGTGTTGGATACTACCTTTCGAATAGCTTGATTTCAAAGCCCATTCATGTGGAGAAGATATCAATGTTGAACCAGAATGGTACTACCATGTAATTGGGTCTTCCGCTATGCTTACATCAGACCACATTGACATCTCTCATCTCATGGAGACATGCTTCCAGCTTCAGAGGTTCAGCGTTTAGCTTCCTTCCATGTTAATATAATACCAACTGTAAGGAAGGACATTAGCCAGGTTAAGCATGGTCTGGTCTGGTCTGGTTTAACCCTAATCAGTTGGCTTAACTACACAAAGATAACTGTAAGGAAGGAAAACATGCATCTGAGCTTTGAGCTGTGGGTGGTGAAGAATTCATTGGGGCCCAGATGCTAGTGGGCCAGATCCAGGAACCCAGCATTCAACTGACCCAAAACACTGAGAGAAAGACCAGGCCCCTGTCTGTCCAACCAAGTTAACAGAAAGGAGTCAAAAGGCTGGCTCTCAGTTATTTTCCCTGCTAGCTCTGGTGGCTTTTTGACCCCACTGAAAGCAACAAAAGACTGCAACTTTGTGAGGAATGGGCACATGGGGGATGGGGGACCATGGGACAGTTAGAGGGCAGGACATGTGAGTCAAGCAAAATGGGCACCAAGGGGGTCTGGTGGTTGAGTAGGGAAAAGGGCAGACACATTACCACAGTGTTGCTACCAAATGAACCCCATAAAAGGGTCTGCACTCAATAGCCCAAAAGTGAAAAGCCAAATGGAATATAAAGCAAGTAAAGGAAAAGGGAAGCTTTTGAGGAAAAAAGGGTAAAGAGAACTAAAGCTAACAATGAGAGAAATCCAACAAGAGGAAAGTTGGCAGATTGTTATAATTAAATAGATTGATGTAAGGGTGGTGAGGAACATTCAGTTTGGGAAATTACAAGGAAAATGAATAATTTCCTCGGAAAATCATTTCCAGTGGAAAAACATATCATATCCCTGATCTTCTTAGGGGTTTCTCTTAACTTCGAAAATAATTTACATTGAAATAACAATTTCAGGAAATTGTTTGTTTTCCTTCATTTTCTGTGCAACCAAACAGAAACTGAAGGAATTTTCCTCTTAATCATGGTTTTCCCCCAAAAGGATAAGAAGGAAAATCCCCTGATATAGATTGAAGTATTTTCCAACTTTCTGAAGAAACAAACATGGGTTAGGGTAATAAATTTCACATGGGTGGATTGAATTCAATGGGAGCCCAAAATCTCCAGCATTTGAAGTGGGCTCACGGGCTGGATAATGCGTTCTAGTTCAAGTTGACTAGTAAATCTTGATTAGTTTCACTATCATTATTACTTGTTACTCTGTGGGCGTGGGCCCCCATTAATCGGGTCGGAAGTCGGAGCCCAAAGGGCAAAGAGCATGGATCAGAGTTGATTGGCATCAGAAATTCGGATGGCTAGGATCATCGCATCTCATGATTTTTTTTGAATTTTGGGCTGTGGGCCCACTGGAACCCTATCTGAGAAATGTACGTTGGGGGTGGAAGGTCAGTGGGCCCGCACGAGGCCGTAACGCCCGTGTTGCTGGGGAAGGTAACAACATGTCGGCAGTTCCCCCTTCTCTTTTACAGTTTTTAACTCCTGGTCCAGCCGTCCAGGGGCTCGTTGCATTAAATCCTCGACGTTTGATCACTTGATGTTTAATGATGGCACTTATGTAATTTTTGTTTTCTGGAGGGTTATTTACGTATTCTCACTTTAGGAAAAAAAAGTACGGAAAAGCAGTAGAGAGAAGAGAGGAGAATAGAGAGCTGAGACTCTGAGAGAGAGAGAGAGGGAGAGCTGTGGTCCGTCGGGGATCGAGTCCGGTCATTTCCGGTCTGTCAGCATTGATGGTGGAATCCGATCGTAGATCGAGAGCCGATTCCAACCTGGTTGAGCAGGTGAAGCCGTGAAGGGACGATTTCTTTGCGAGTCGCTCTGAAACTCATCTAAAGGAATGAGCGGAAACAGCTGACACGATCGATCGGGCTTGGATTTCAGGTACTGTTCGGAAGTTTGGCTTTTTAGGTTTTCGTTTGATGTTTCAGAGGACGAGTTTCGGAAAAATTGCTGAAATTTCTGGTAGCAGATCCAGCAGTCTTAAGTTCAGAGGAAGGTGCTTTGAGATTTGAACTCCGAGAATTCGTTGGAGTATTTTAACATAGTGGAATCTAAGCTAAGAAAGTTTAGTTGAGGTGTCTCAGGTGACTTGTAGCGTGTTTAAGGTACTGCAGGGGTTTGGAGCTTTGCAAAATCGGATTTTTTCGACTTGTTTCAGATTTTGTTTAATGGGGAAGGTGCAATGGAGAAACCGAATGTGTAGTATCTTGAATTCCAATTTCAGGTGGGTTTGTTCTCTTCTCGGTCTTTAGTGTTTGTCTAGGGGTTCAGGCTCTCCACTTTGGACTGGTTGCCATTGGAAGCAATCTAAAGAGAAGTTAAGGGTGATTGTAGAAGGTGGGCTATAAGAACATTGATTTAGAAATAGAGTCATTTCAGTTTTTTTCGTTTTGTTGGGTGATTTAGGTTTATTTGTAGTGGGCAGAAACCTAAGATGCTTAGTAGACTCTAGAGGAAGAAAAAATTGATCTGATTTTGGCCTTTTGAATTGATTCGAAGTTTCATCAGCTTCTTAGATGGAAACCCAGCAGAAATGAAAGGAATCATTGCTTAGAAACAGTGGGGAAAAAATCATGGAGGATTTGTCCAAATATGCACACAGTCTGGTTCATTTGGCAGTTGCTCGTCGTGACTACGCCTCTCTCAAACGTATTGTCTCTACCCTCCCACGTCTCCCAAAGGCTGGTGAGGTCACCACCGAAGCCGAGTCCCTTGCTGCTGAGCTCCAGGCAGATGTTGTCTCTGCTGCCATTGATCGCCGTGATGTCCCTGGCCGCGAGACCCCACTCCACCTTGCTGTCCGCCTCCGTGATCCCATCTCTGCTGAGATCCTCATGGCTGCTGGTGCTGACTGGAGCCTCCAGAATGAAAACGGATGGAGTGCTCTTCAAGAAGCTATATGCACCCGCGAAGATTCCATTGCCATGATCATTGCCCGGCACTATCAGCCCCTTGCCTGGGCCAAATGGTGCCGCCGGCTACCACGTATTATCTCCTCGGCTGCACGTATTCGTGATTTCTATATGGAGATAACTTTCCACTTTGAGAGCTCAGTCATCCCCTTTATTGGTCGCATTGCCCCATCTGATACCTATCGCATTTGGAAGCGTGGTTCGAATCTTCGTGCCGATATGACCCTTGCTGGTTTTGATGGATTTCGCATACAGCGGTCAGATCAGACCTTTCTGTTCCTTGGAGAAGGCTATTCATCAGATGATAGTAGTGTATCTTTACCTCCTGGTTCTCTGATTGTCCTTGCTCACAAAGAGAAGGAAATTACCAGTGCTCTGGAAGGAGCTGGGGCTCAACCTACAGAGACTGAGGTTGCTCATGAGGTGGCCCTGATGTGTCAGACTAACATGTATAGACCAGGAATTGATGTTACACAGGCTGAGCTTGTTCCACATTTGAATTGGAGGCGGCAAGAGAGGACTGAAATGGTTGGAAGTTGGAAAGCCAAGGTTTATGATATGCTTCATGTGATGGTGAGTGTAAAGTCCAGGCGTGTTCCTGGTGCAATGACTGATGAGGAGCTATTTGCTGCAGAGGATGATGAGAGATTGGTGAATGGTGGGGATCATGATGAGTATGATGATATATTGACAGCTGAGGAGCGAATGCAACTAGATTCTGCTCTCCGCATGGGAAATTCAGATAGTTTTGCTGACGATGAGGAACATGGGATCTATGACTACCAAGAAAATGGTGTAGTAGGAGGTACTCGTGAAAATTCTGAATCCAATGGTGTTACCAAAGAAAAGAAGAGTTGGCTTGGTTGGAACAAGAAAGGGTCAAAAAATGGAGGCAATGATCCTGAAGATTCAAAGATACTGAAGAAGTTCTCCAAGTTGGCTCCAGAAGGGAGCAACCAGAAATCGGTTGATTGTCAGAAGTCATCATCAGAGTTGCCAAAGGATGATTTGGGTGATGGTAAAAAGAGTAAAGAGAAAAGTTGTAAGAAGAAGAAGAAAAGCGGATCGACAAGTGAGTCTAAACATGAGAGTGAGTACAAAAAGGGTCTGAGACCTGTCTTGTGGTTGACTCCAGACTTCCCTTTGAAAACAGATGAGTTTTTGCCCCTACTTGACATTTTAGCAAACAAAGTTAAGGCTGTTAGGAGACTCAGGGAGCTTTTAACTACTAAACTACCTCCTGGCACATTTCCTGTTAAGGTACTTGGATATTTTCTCTTTCACCTTTGATGTTTTCCAATTACCATTTTTGCCAACCAGTATTTGATATTTTGTGATTTATCTGTGGTTATGATCCTGTTATCCAAACTTGTCAGACATCTTCTGCTTGATTGATTTACTGTTATTTGATATGCATTCATCCAAATCATGCTGTCTGTTTTATCTCTCCTTTTCAGCTTCACTTACCTTAACTGGTTTTTCCTTGGAAAACCCAGTTTATCATATTTCCATCAGAAACACTTGCATTTTATCTTACAAGTGTAATGTGACATGCTTTTTCTTGTTATCATTTTCTATGTTTATCAATTTTATTTATTTTGCATTACAAACTATAAAATCTTTATTGTTTGATAATTTTTTTTTGGGTTATTAATTACTAATTTTCAATGCTTCCCTTATTTACCAAATAGAATCTCGTCATCAAGTCATTGTTTTATAGTAAGTTGGTCAGTCTTTCAGTTTTGCCATTTCTGTTTTGATTTTGCTTCATGACATTGTCTTCAAGCTGTTCTCTGATTCTAGGAATAGAGAAAAAGGAAAAAAAATAACTTTGTTGTGATGCCAGTTAAAGGACGTACTGTAGTTCAAACTGTTTTCCCTCATCACATTCAGCTCTTGATTCAAATCCCCTCATTTCCTTTTTTTCTTGACCTGTTCTGCATTTCCATCATTGTCAATTGTGATGCCTTGAATTTTCTTTTTTGTAAGCTTATTGTCATTTAGCTAATAAGCTTTGATACTTATATTTCTGAATTTGCTGGAAAACCATTCATGTTTTATCATTTTAACCATGGTTGATACTTTTGATATCGATCAACATTTCGCCATGTAGAGTTGGAGATGTTTTGGAGATATTTCGCTACTTTTGCTAAGATATTTGGAAATCTAGAAAGTCAAAAAAGTTTTCTAGAAACATGGAATTAGTTAATAAACCTTCAAGAGATCATTAGAAGAAATATAATTGCACTCAAAACCATAACAAAGAACTATATAAATCAAATAGGAAAACTTAAGAGATTGTAATAGGTTTGTTTCTCTTTGTCTCCCATTTGGTCTTTGGCCATCTTTTCTTCTTTATATATGCCAATTATTTTCCATTTAAACTTTTGTCTTTATTATTACTATATATTTTGATTAGACTGAGAATACTCTTTTGTAGTCATATGCAGTTTTCTTTTTCTTTTGAATTATAGTGACTTAGTAAGTGGATCATATCAAAGTAGTAAGCCAATTATCCGTTCACCAATTCCCTACTGGTTCTTTTAGGAAAATGTTTTTCAAAAATTATGATTATTTTAATGAAATAGAAAAGCTTTTAATAATATTCCAAAATTTTAAATGTTAAAATATATGGTCTATCAATGAAATTGCATTGATGGGAGCCTTGTGTACTGGGCTGCCCTAGTCTATCAATGAAACCTGAAATATCACCAGCATATTGGCAAAATGTCAGGGATATTTGAAAAAAAGATTCTTGGAAGATTTCCTATCGCCACCTAGAAAATGGAGATATTTTGGGGATATATTGCCAAATATTGTCAATATTGCGAACCATGATTCTAACATTTAACCATGCTACATGGTTGTTTTGTATGTATACTGTGTCCTTTTAACTACAGATTGTTGTATTTTTCATCTTTTTTTTTTTTTTATCAGCGTTGTATTTTTCATCCTTTCCTAAAGGGTTATCCTAGATTTCCAATGTTCTCATCTTATCCTATTTTAATTGTTTGTATTCTCAAGGAACCATTTAACCTAAAAGCTTAAGTTGTTAATGAGGTCCCTGAATGGGTTTTTATTTTACACTCCCTCACATGAAAGCCCATCAAGCTTGAAGTGTGGACAAGCACAGGCCTACCCATACCTTGTGCTGAAATTTAAATAATTATAATAGGGGTGGTGAGGATTGAAAACTAGACCACTTGGTCGAAGAGGCTCTGATACCATGTCAAGGAACCATTCAACCTAAAAGCTTAAGCTGTTAGATGAGGTCCCTGAATAGGTTTTTATTCTTTAGCATGTATAAGATGAACCAAAGCAGCTTGTTGATCAAAATAAAATAAAAAGATGAATCAGGACAACCACAAACATAAGGATTCTACTTGTCTGTGTATCATTGCTTTTGATCTTTTAGGCCCTACACTTTGACATTTGACATTTGACAGCTATGTCATAGTGCCCTTACATTAGTTATATGTGATGATAGATTCATATTACCATGTCATATTTTCATATTTGAATAGAATATCTTTCTAAAAGAAATGGAATGCCTTTTTATATAAAATATACTAAATCCAGAAGCCAAATACTTTTGCATACATATATCAAAAATTAGGCTTTTGTCAATTTTTTTTTCCCAAAAGTACCTAATCCATTGACTTGCACCTTGGAGTTTTATCCTATGCTCATTGCCAAACTAATCAGCCTGATAGAGATTTTTTTTTTCCCAAAAGTACCTAATCCATTGACTTGCTCCTTGGAGTTTTATCCTATGCTCATTGCCAAACTAATCAGCCTGATATTGCTTGGGCTTGAGTTGCCATTCTGAGGAATGAGGGTGATGAACAAGAATTCAGTCAGTTCTTTTTGTAATATAATGTATAATACTTGGAAGGTAGCAATTAGAAATCCATTATAGTTAGATGTTTGGTCTAACAACTTACAAATAGCCGCTGTTACTTCTTGCTTGTCAAACTTCCCTTTGGGAAAATGGTCACCTATATTTTAAGAAAATCTTTTTAAAATTAGCATGAGCAAAAATTTGAAACTGTTTTGAAAGTCTGCCCAAAAGTGAGTCCACTAGAGAAAGGGTTTTGGCTACAAAAGGTTGATTTTAAGCTTTGTTGCAGAAGGGGATTGTGCTAAAACCAACTTTTTCCTGCTACTAAGTGGTATGCCTCCTCTCCTTCATAATTATCATCTCAATACAATAACCTCTTCTAAGGGGGGAACTTACTTAGAAGGTGTACCCTACTGGATACTGGATACATAGTATAATACTTAAGGTGGGAAGGATAAACTTGTAAAGGAAAAAGCAATTCAACAAGATAATATGAATAATGAGGATTAGGTATAGGGTAAATAAATGAAATTTTGGGAAAGTAAAATCACATTATTTCAAATAATGATTAAGCCAATTGTTACTTGAAACAATCTAATTCAATGGCATATGGAAATCTAGTTGTGGAAGAAGACTGAAGGGCAGTAATCATCTGGTTGAAGAAAGAAGCAGATAGTCCACGGTGTCTATGATATTAGATCAGAGAAGCTAATTTTTTATCCAATTCCTTAAATACAAGCTTTGGGCACCATGGCCAGCAAATAATCATGCTCATTTACTAGCCACGGAGGGAGTTCATAGACAGGAATTGATTGGTGGCACATATCCTGTTGACTGAAATGAGGTATTGCTTGAGTGCTTGTACCAATATTTATGTTTGGAGCTTCTGGGGAGAGCAATTTTGTGGTCCTGTAATGTAACATACTTGATGTAATTAGCTGTTATTGACACATTAATCAATAAAATTAGGCAGTTGGTGATAAAAAATCATACTTGAAGTCATGCAGCCAACCTGCAGGTCCAATCTTGTCACTAGCTAAGAGAATCTGGAGCAGGTAGAATCATGTAATTTGAAGTAATGACTAGGCTGGTTGTTACTTGAACTAATGCAGCCTACCTATATGTTCGTCTTGTGATTAGGTAAAAGAATCTAGGGAAAGGTAATTTGCATTACTTCAAGCAATGTCAAAGCATTGTGGCCTACACGTTAAATTGGTCCAGTTTAAGTGCAAGAATCTGGGTTGGGTGAATTGTGTGACTTGAAGTTATGCAACAAGAATCTGTATGGCCTGTTGTTCATTATATCTTTTTTATCAATGAAGTGTACCTTGCCTTTCTCCAAAGACCTTATACCAATTAGCAACTAGCAAGGAATATGAGAAGGGCAGTGCAGAAACTGGAAGGATTTTTCACAAAGAAAATCCATTAGTGTCGTGGAGTAGAAATCTATTTTTAGTTGTAGAATTAGTTATAGTTGTATGGGTCTTTTGATGTCCCTTTCAGGAAGAAGGGTGATGGCTTTCATATTTGTCAGTACTCTTTTTCTCTCTTGGGAATTTACTGATCTTGCCCCTCTATCATGTTGCTCCCATTAGTTTATCAAATTGTTTGTATGAACTATGAACATTAGTTTTATCAGACTTCAATCCTTGGTTTCTTTTAGTACCACATTTGGACAGTAAGCATGATTAGTTGACCCTCTCAACTGGCTCCATTGGCCTACCTGTGGTACTGATCCAATTTTCCTCCTAACAGTTCATCTGTAAACTCTCATGCTGTTGGTTTGTCTCAAAGCGTCTAGCAACTACTTTGTTTGAAGCTCCAACTCATGTAACAGTTGTGTTTGCCACAGTCCATGTGGACAACTTTGAAGGTTTATAATGACAGAGAAACTTTTTAACAGGAGCCAATATGTGAGGCACAATAAATACCATAATGTGATTTTTTGGGGAATGACATATTGAGAATTTGACATCGAGTGTTTACATGAAATGTGAGTTTGAGACTTAAGCCCATTCAAATAATTGTCATCAAACTGGTATCTGATGTGAGTCAAAGGTCATGAGCTATCTCAAATTGTGTCAACTGTCCTTGTTGAGCAAGAAAAATATTAGATTCATTATAGGTCAAAGGCAACTCATCAAGGCACCGGTTGGGTGGATACTCTCTAAACTTGATGATGTTGGATCTTCTGTCACTATACCATAGAAGCATGATCTTTGGCATCCAGAATGAACAGCTCATTCAAGTTCTTTTGGTGAGGGTTGACTTATATTAGGGGCAATGGTTATATTCTTGTACTGTTCTTTGTTGTTTTCTGGTGTATGTTGTACTCTGCATTCTCATCAAGTTCTTTTGGATGTAGAGGTTTCTCTGTTTTTATTCTTATATAATGAGATTTCTTTGATCTTGCTACTGAGAAAAATAGTATGGAACTCACATATTTTCATATACATGGTGAGTCATTTATCTCTTTGGTTTAATCTCAGGTTGCCATCCCTATAGTTCCAACCATTCGGGTCCTTGTGACATTCACAAAATTTGAAGAGCTCCAGCCAACAGAGGAATTCTCAACTCCTCCCTCCAGTCCGGCACATTTCCAGGATGCCAAATCCAAAGAATCAGAGGGGTCAACATCATGGATTTCATGGATGAGAGGAAGTCGTGGTGGGCAATCAAGTGACAGCGAAGGCCGCTGCTTTAGGGATGAGATTGACCCTTTCCACATACCATCAGACTACTCTTGGGTTGATGCCAATGAGAAGAAGCGGAGGATGAAGGCCAAGAAGGCCAAGAGCAAGAAGAGTAAGAAGCAGTCTGCAGCCAAAAATGGGGATGCAGGAAACCGGTTGGGTGATAATATGGAAGAATATTAAGAAAAGATGTCTCTGTTAGTTGTTTGCCTCTTAGAATTCTTCACAAGAGGAAGGAATGGGGCCTGTTCATATGAAGATCAAATTCTGTTTTTCCCTCCTTTGGAGGTGGTTAAAGGAAATATTAAGAGAGTTGTTTGGGTGTCTGTAATAGAGTAGGAAGAGCTTCAGCTTCTTATTCCCACTGTTGTATGTGATCCATATTGCCATGTGAAATTGGAGATGAACAAAATCTCCTTGTTCCTTTTTTGTTCCTTATAATTTGTTTTTTGCTCCAATTCTTCCCAAACTGATCTATGTGTCTATGCCCATGATTATCTAATTTTAACTCCTGTTGTTTGGATTCTTTTGTAGTCAAATGTAATTCTAGCTGATCCAGAGCCAAAATTTTCCCAAGACCTCAGACTACCGGAACCGGAACTGTGTAATGGCCTCCTGTATTATATTTCTGGTCTGGTTTCTTTAGGGGCTATGATTGCTAAGATAAATTGTGAGCACTGGAAGGCTCTACTTACCTGTTAAGTTGTGCTGAACTTAATAGAAATTTAGACAAAGATCAGATTTCAAATCACGGTGTCTAACTTTGGGTGAGGGTGTGATCCTTCGGCCTAAATTTGGATTCTCCACAAATATTATCAAAGAGTCAAATTCCTAGTAATAATAAAATCTGGCCCAAAGGCTTACACAGTCAATGGAGGAAGTGGAGCTCATCAGGTCCACAAAAGAACAAAAGCTTACGGAAAGAAGTGGACCTCTCACATTTCAAACAGAATACAAGGATAGAAACTGATAAAGCCCATTCATTGGCAGCTTGACAGAGTGGGAAACCAAGAGCCTTTTGGAGCGTAGCACAATAGTAGCTTTTCCTAAATATACTATATACATCCAAGTTCTTACATATTAATAGTGACATCTCGGAGAGAAAAGCTTGGAAAGCCTTTTTCTCGGGAAATCTAGGTAAATGATGGTGGAGATTTTAAGAAATTACCCGGTACCGGTAGGGTAGAAATTGCCATCCCTAACCATAAGGTAGGGCTATAAGTGAGTCGAGCCTATTTGTATGTTATTTGGGCTAGACTTGCTGAATACTTGAATTCGGCTTGAAGTAATCAAATTCGAGTCGAGTTTGACTTGGGTCAAGTTCGAGCTCCACAATAGCCGGCTCAAGTGGCTTGAGAGCCTAATTGAATTAATAATAAAATACTATTTTTTTAATATATTTGTATTTATAATATAAATAAGCATTATATTTTTATGTTAACTTATTTATAATATAAATAATACATTTATAATTGATTTTCATAATATGTTTTTATTTATATTATTTACAATATTAATTTGTTTATAAATTTTAATACTAATTTATTTATAATTGGGTTGAATCGAGCTGATCTCGAACAATTTGTGAGTATCGACTCAAGTCGAATTCGAACAAAATACATGAAACTCGACTAAACTTGAGTTGTGCTTTTGAGTTGAATTCGAACTTGAGAAGCCTGATACTTAGCTCGACTTGACTCAATTACACCCCTACTACTAAATCATTGGCAATGAGTCAACATGCTGAGAAGTAATCTCAACAACAAAAACAATAGAAGGAATATCTAAACGATGGACCTCCATTATTATCAGTAATAATGGGGAAACTTGGATAGAATGACACCACAAGTATATAGAGAAAATATAAAAATTAAGAATATAAGATTTAAGATTTATGTGGTTAGACAAACTGTAGTGACATTCACATACCGGGCGAAGATGAATGCAACAATCCACTAGAAAGCAAAGCAAAGGGATATTACAATTAAAAACACAAATCAAAAAGTCTTACAAGTTACAGCCTATTCTCTTCCTTACAAGAGAAACCCTTTTTCCACTTCCAAACAAATTTTAGCATAACCTTCAAAATCAAAAGCTCAAATTGAGAATCAACTCATGTTCTCATTCATGGAGAATTCAACTCTTTCAGCAAGGGCACAAGCCTCTACCTTAGATGTTTCTAATAATACTCCACGGCATACATTTATGGAGGTCCAAGAACACTTTTTTCCTTGTAATAACCCCCTTGGAATAATCTAAGCATTGCATTTTCAATTAACCCTCTCCCCCCCCCCCCCACACACACCAAAAAAAAAATAACGAATGCCTTGCCCAAGGATCAAAATATCGATATACTCGATACCTACAATTGGGTATCAGTGCATATTAATTAGACCAATAATCTTGCTTTCTTTTATATTTTTATTCTATTGCATGTGAGGGATGCTTTCTATCACCTCATAGTTTCAAAACCCCTAACCCTATGTATTGGTGTATCCATGTGTCTTCATGACTACCGATACTGATACAATACGTCCAACCACAACCCTTCCCATAAATTGATTTGCTCAAATAACTCGGTGAAGTCTAACTTTAGTGTAAATTTAGATATCTTTTAATTTGTTCAGGTTGCTAGAGGCCCAAAGTCAAGTTAGGTCCATACTTTTCAACCCTTCAACCCAAACCAACTCAACTCGATTTTTCTTAAACCCTGTCCAAATTGATGGCCGCCCCAACCACACAAAACTTTCCACTCTCAGTGGAACAAGATTTCTCCACAACCACTAATATGATACTACTGCTCAACCACTTTTGAAGAATGCATTATAAAAAAGGATTCCACTTTAAGTTTAAGCTTCCCAATAAATAAGACTGTTTCCATCGCTTTTTATCAATCAAGAAGGAACCATTTTGACAGCTTACAAATTGCTCAATAAGTTTAGCACATTCTTCTAATTCCCTATCCAAAACAGTTTGGAGTTTCTGTGATGTCTTTATTACTTTCTTCCCTTCTTTACATCATTACATATGGAAGATCATTTAATTTTTTTGATAGATGAACTACAGGGAAAGGAGATAAAAGCCCTCTTTTTGGGGTTGACAACTGGGCCAAGGATCAGTCTTTATTAAAAGAAATTCACTCATCACAATGACCTAGAATCCAGCATGAGAAAAAGCTCAGTGAACTGATGTTGGTTAAATCCATTAAAGCTACCCTCATCCTGCAAAATGGAGAGTTGTCTTGCTATCAAAAGGATAAGGGATGGCTTAAGAACACTCACAAACTGTGGTTATCTACATCCAAGGAAATACTTCCATACCCAATACCCATTGGCTTCTCTAGAGTTGTAGTAGCCAGTTGAATGGGGCTAGGGGTGACCATCGGATTGGGCTGGACCGAGGAAGACCCAGGTCCATCTTGACCCAAAAATTTTGGCTTGGGCCAGATTAAGACACAAAATTGACCCGAGGTGCTGAATAGCAGAAACCCAGCCTGACTTGAGATAACAAGAGCCGGTCTCAGGCTAGACCAAGCATAGAATAGAGACAGAAAACTATCAAGAATCACTGGCCCTTTGGACTCTAGTTTAGTGAATAATTTTTTTTTTAAGTTCTACTCCTTTGGAGTTATAATTATAATCATTTTACCAAAACAAGAAAAATGTAGATAAAAATACAAATTGATCAATTTCCCAATTTGAGATTTTGCTGTGAAGTACCAATTGTGTAAACTAGTTATTATCATACATGGTGTGATTAATTTCAACTGGAGTACCACAATTTCATTAATTAGACCTCATGTATCATGTTTGCACCTTCAAGATGAAATTTCTCACATTTTCATTAAGGCTTAGTTTGGAAGGAGTACAAATACAAATATGTACCGTGCAAATATATACTAAATACAAGGTTTTGCACTCTGTATATTTGTATTTGTACTCTTTCAAAACTGAGCCTAATAAACCATATTTAGATAATTTTAAAAACAAATCTGGTTTCAGTCTGGTAGTTTGGACCTATACAATTCTGTGTCTGATGAGTATAAGCAAGATCGATGTTGGGTCTGGGACAAAGGACTGGTTGGTTTGTGACAGTTACAACTTCTCACTTATCCTATATTTCATGGATGGAGGTGGTTTCCCAACTGGACTAAAATCAGCTTACAGTGTCAATTAAGTTTAGTTTCCCATTAGTTGAGATGGTAACTCGCATTCCTTAAAAATGAAAGGCGAGCATTAGTTTCCCAAAATCAGTAATGGGCTGGATTTTTAAAATCCAAACCCTCTCTTTATATGAAAAATGCAAAATCCTCCCTGATCCTATTCTTTTCGCATTTGAGGGTGGGGTGTGTCAGATTAGTGGGAATTGTATCTAATTTATTATTATTTTTTTTTTATATATAAGCAATAAACAAGTAAAATAACATGAACAAGCATCAAAAGTTCTAATTATTTGATTAAAATATATAAAAAACACATAAACTATCAATCATTCTTTACATAAATTTAATATATTATTAAATTCAACACCTAATACATAAATTCACATGCCTTCGAACAATATACGGATTGGAAAGAATCGGATTTAAATACTGTACCCTAACCTACCCCATTTAGGTGTGGGGCAGGGGGGGTGGTATCGGGTTAGAATTAAATGCAACATCCATTATGATTGTTTAAGAATTTGTTAGGTACCATACCATTTGAGTGCCATGACAAGACTCAATTTTCTTTATTATATTGCATTAATATTTACCACATTCATATCAAATGTTTTCTTAAATGTGTAACTTCCCTTTCGACAGTGGCTCATTTCGAGCTTTGTTTGTCTGCAGTGCAAATCTAAACTGAGTGCAAAGCTTGCACCTGATTTAGATTTACTTGCATTTCCTTGTAATAACTATGATTTGCACCCTACCTGATGCAAAATATGCACTTTTTTTGTCTCATCTGTTCTCAGTGGTCTGATACAAAATTTGCACCAACCTCTATTGTCTCTCACACAAAGTGGAGATCACATAATTGTATTTTCCATTTTACTCTTCTCAAACAAATAACCTACCTTTTACCTTAATTTTCTTCCCCACAATTTTCTTCCGTCTCTTATAAAGTTGAGACCATATAATTTTGTTTCACACCTTGCTAGCTCCTCCCAAACAAAGATAGTTTTGCACTTTCATATATGCGTTGCAAACAAATTGAGCCTTATATAGTTATTTTGGGTCATCTACTAAAACACCCACCCCTAGATATAGTAAAACCTACTCCTAATTTTGCATTTTACTAAAACATTCAATAATTTGCAACTGATTTTTTATGGTCATTTGACCATAACTAAACCAAGAGGAAAATGTTTAAGGGCATGGGCCATGGTTATTTATTTCGAAAATACCCCTAACACTTCATATCAAGCTTTTAGAAAGAAAATACCCCTACAATAGAACTTGGCTAGAGAAGATCGATGTTGAGTATGTGTGGTTGAAGCTTCAAGATTTAGGAACGTGCCTATGTTTTACTAAGGGCAAAA